TCCGAAAAACGGGGGTACCTTACCTTGTCTAGGGGTCCTTAGAATAAGGACCCTAGTCTACCCTAGTATTTAGGGTACTATATTTGGGTCCTATTTCCGGCATACCCGGCGATATCTGTCACAGATGATGTGGGCCAACGTGGAGCTGAACCCTTCCATCCTCGACGCGCCTTGGCTCCGTAGCATCACTGACTGTGGCCCTCAAAGAGATGAGACGTTGGGAGGTTCGTAAGTAGGGGGTGTTTAGGGCTCCTATAAGGGTCTCTTCAAAGGGATCTTTAAGGGGTTTAGAGCTTTAGGGTTTAGGGTTCTTAGTAGCATCACTGACTGTGGCCCTCTAATGAGATGAGACGTTGGGAGGTTGGATGCACGGCTGTGGGCTAGTAGCCTGAAGGCTCATAGGTCATAGGCTTCCAAATCCCTCCAACTGCAAAGCCTGCTCACATCAGCTCTCGACGTTATCGCATACGTTTTGGTGCTCGGCGCAGCTCTTGTGCATATCGCAAATCGAATATCGCAGAGCCGAACCAATTCCTGTAGAATGTCGCGAGGCATTTGACCTGCATGAATCTGACGCAAGCGATTTCTTCGCCAGGATCTGAGAGCCCACTCGCATCGAGTCTTCGTCATCGGCAGTTGTGGTTGAAAAAGCTGCGAAAGCCAAGGTTGCTTTGCGATCAAAACGATCTCGGTTCAAGGCTTGCTGTTTTGACCTAGCACCCACAGCGGATGACTTGATTCCTGGTGCATGGAACCAAGCATGAAGAGAATCGGAGATCAATCTCCGTCCGAATACAACTGTCAACAATTCTCCCTGCTCTCTTCCCGCCAGGTTCACACGGGCGAACTGCGCTTCGAGGAGCGGGGAATTTCGTAGGAGTGAGACCTGAGATGCAGGCCTGAAGCCCCCGAACCCCTGCAAGCCCGGCTTCAGTCCCAAAGGAGTTGGATGGCTTCGTCGATGGGGTCCTAAACGGAGGACCGCTGCCTGGAAAGCTGAAGGCGACGAGAGCGGATTTTCTCCAGCATTCAGCTTTCTGAGGAGGGTGTCAAGGCAGGCAGGTAGAGTGGTCAACTGGCTTCCACGGGGCTGGTCCCAAGTCTCTAGATGGGTTCTTCTGAAGGGGGTCTAGCGGCGAGCCAGAGCTCCGCTTTTCATTCGGCAGTTGGATGCGGTTGAGATAGGCCTGAACTCCTGCCCAGCATCAACTCAAAGCTTGGCGCTCGACCACCCGAGGCGGTACACTCGACAGAAGACCCAGTGTGCGTGACAAACGTGCCCGCATGCCTTGTCCCGAAGGTTCCAAAGATCGAGCTTTGAGAAGGGGGCAGCCGTCACGCTTTTCCAACCAAAAACCCGCACTGTGCAGGTGCGCAAAGAAAAGCTGTATCCCCTGCTGACTGCTCTGATTCCCTTTCACACACACACACACACACCACCGTTCTCTTTTGAGGTTCTGCAGCCGAGAAAGGGTGCAAGTGACCGTCCGCAATACCTTGGACGTTGGCTGTAAAGTGCTGCAAATATATAATTATTGTTATTACTATTATTAACTATCCGTCACACCACTGCAGCCCGTGCTTTCAAGCCATGCTTCCGGTCTCCTTTCATTACAGTCGGTTCTCCAGGTGTGACTCTCAAGTTGCACTAGTCACTAGTCACACGAATCTCAACGTCAGGATAATCGGTTTGAGCTTTATGCCAAGTTTGCGCCCGATGTCCTGCATTGTGGCCAAGCCCGTGTCACCGCTGGAACTCTATGCAAGAGCGCTGCCCGATGACGCAGATGCCACCAGACATCTAACCCTCCCTACACAATAAATACCCTATTAACCCATTGTGGCTTAGGGGCTTAGGGTTTGGGGTGCCCTAAACGCCCTATCAACAAAAAGCCCTTGTCGTGTGTTGCTCCTGGGCCTGGGTTCTTCGTAAGTTAAGGGGTTTAGTTCAAGTTGATTAATTGCCATAACAGGGGTCTAAAGTAAGTAAGATGATTTCCTTCTTATGGTGAAATAAATTCCTTAACAAGAACACCCAGCTTCTGGCTCAGGTTGCTCCTCTGCACTTCCCCATGTACACCGTCTCCGTGGAGCTGCTGCTGAAGATGACAGCAGTTGAGCCGCACGAGACGCTAAAGGCCAGGTTGGGTCAACCGGAATCGATCGGAGCTCTTGACTTCTTGGCTCTTTCGAACAAAAACGCCCCAGGCCGGAGAAAGCCGTTAAAGGACTGAACAAGTCTCGAAGCTTTGCCTGCTAGGCTCGCGGCGAGCTCGTCGTCTTCGACAGCGATGGCAGCGATGGCGGGAAGAAAGCGGCCTTCGTGTCGCACCAGTGGATAGCCAAGGAGCATCCGGACCCGGACTTCAAGCAGATGGCGGCCGGGCTCTTGCTAAGGAACTTACTTTGAGTTACCATAATAAGGAAACCGTATCATGTAATACAGATCCCTATTATGGCAGTTAATTAACTTCAGCCAAGTCCCTTGACCCCGAAGCCTTTATAGCTTATAGATCCCTTAATGGATCCCTCAATTTAAGTAATTCCTCAAAAAGAGCCCAGGTTGTTCTCCAGGCTGCCTTAAGGCGGCTCCTAGGTGGCAAAGGCTTCGTGCCCCTGGACCCGATCACGGAGACCTTCGTGACAAGCGCCAAGCCTCTTCCTTTAAAAGACCTGCAGAAGCTCTGGCAAAGCTGGGGGTCATTCTTTTGCGTGTTTATGGGTGTTTATCCTGAATAAGGAATAGAAGTTGCACATGCTTTGAGACTTGCCCAACATTGAACCAGGAAACATGAATGGCTCATCTGGTATGATTATTTCTCGTGCCCACAGCTGGAGAACCGAAAGTCCTACACGACAGATCTTAAGGACGGCAGCCAGCAGGCCACTGCCATCAACAGCATCCCAGCCTATGTGACAAGATGCCATCTCTTCCTCGCACTTTGCCCAGTGATCGACTGTCCAGAGGAGGCCAAGGTACTCACGTCCGCGACGTGGAGTCGTAGAGGTTGGTGCCGGGTGGAGCGCGCCGCACGGGAGCTGTCCCCCAACAGCACATGGATTCTGATCCAAAGCGAATCCTCTATTGAAGCTGTTGGTACGGTGGCATCCTTTGTGTGTGGATCTGTTGGGGAAGGCGAGTTCACAGTCGCTGTTGACCGGCACCTGCTGGCACCGGTCATGCAACAGATCGTACGCCGGAAGCTGTTGCATTGCCTTCGACTGGGTGACCTGCCAGCTTTCCGTCGCTACTTGAACCTCCAAAAAGTTCATCTGCGAGGGCTGGAGGTCGAGCCGCTCGCCGGCTTGCTTCCAAGCCCGCATTGCGAGGGAGCTGCGGAAGATGCCCTGGTGGAGTTCTTGCACCAGAACGGCTTCAGGAGCCTCGACGAAAAGGACAGTGCAGGTTGGCGACCGCTACATTATGCTGCAATCGCGGGGAACACCAAAGTCTTAAGACAACTGCTGGAGCGGAAGGTAGATGTGAACCAGCTCACATCAAAGGATGAGCCTCGGTTGGGCTTTCCGTTCTGGATGTCTGCATTGAGCTTTGCAGTATTCTACAAGCAGCATGACGCTATCCAGCTGCTGCTGGATGCCAAGGCCCTTCTGAATCGTGGAATTGCGTCGGCCATTGACTCAGTCTCTTCGGACAGTGCCGAGTGCGTGCGGCTCCTGTGCGCTGCTGGTTCCCATCCACTAAGCAAGAACTTTTTGGGCTTCACGGCTTTGCAGACTGCTGCTGCGTTCGCAGCGACCATGTCAGTAGAGGAGATGGTGGCATCGCACCAAGTCAGTCCGCTGGCGCTGTCCCAGGCACTCTTCCATGCAGCGGGTTTCCGCGGTGGTACGGCTGAGATGATCCAACACTTGATCGAGCTGCGCGCTGATCCCGATTTCCAGTTCGGTCGGAATGATCTGATGCCCGTTGGACGCATGTTCTATGCCGCGAAGTCCATGCAGCACCGGCTCGGCCGAGACACGGCTTTGTCGGCTTTCGCCTACCACTTGCATGGCAGCACACCGCTGATGCAGGCCATCAGGTCGACTCAGTACGAGGCCGCCGCAAGTCTCATCGCGGCCGGTGCCAGGCTGGATCTCCGGAACTGCCGGAAGTGGCAAGCAGCCGACTTTGCCAGGGGACAAACGATCCCAGACTTTTTAAAGCTGGGCTTGCAGGGCGACCCATCCGAATGTCAGAGGGTGTCTGCGCTGGCCCTTGCTGGTGCCCATGTCCAAGTTCCTTTCTAACGCCGCTTTGATCGTGGAGCGGAGCCAGCGACACGAGTTTCACACCAAGGCTCACCCGAGATTCGAATCGAGGCCGAGGGAATGGTCAGGTTGACTTCAGTGTTGTCCTCAGCTTTCTCCCCACTACAAGAAGTATCTAGTAGTTCCGTTGCAACAGGTATTGCAGTACCACTACCTTCTCGGATCACCCGCATGAACTTTTTCCCGACTTTGCCTTTACGACAGCCCCGTTGACATGTCCTCATGGTCTTTGTTTTTCGAGGGTCTGTTATTGAAAGCAGTCGCCGCTAAAGCGCCTCTCGAGTTCTGGGCCACGGGGTCTTCGGTCTTCGGCACCTGCGCGATGGCTCTATACTCACTCTTCAGGGACTCTCGCGAGAGTGCTTGCTCCTCTTCCTTCGGCAGAATGGCATGGCCATGAGATCACGGCTTTCCTACCAACGCAGCTGTCTGGCTCGATACCGGTATTCGTTTTTGCCAGAAGGCACAGATAAGCGAAGCAAGCGCCGCTCACTCTCTTTTTTTCGCGCCGCAAGGGTGACCCTAGGACTGCACTGCACCAGATTCTTTTTGCTGCATGGCATCGTGGGACAGCTCTGGCTGAGGCACGGGTTGTCTGAGAAGTTTGCGCTGGCTCCGAGAATGGATTCAGAAGTGTACGGCACAGAGCTAGCATCCGGGTCTCCAGCGACCGACAGAAGCGGTCAGAGTTCAGGTCAATGAAGCCTTTCCAACGCATTGAAGGCAGCATGGAAGTGGAAGTCCTCAGCGTCTCTGGCGCGGCTCCCGATCAGGCTGGGGACCTCTGGAAAGCCACGGATTGAGTCCAGGGAATATTCAGAATCGGTTTTGTTTTAACGGCGGTCCACCAGCTAGCATGTCTAGCCATGTTCTGAATCTCTCCAGTGTAGCAGTCCATTCGACATGGCACTCGAATGCGTCAAATCATGGATGTTGTTACCGTGAACTTCCCACATCGACGCCCCTCAAATTCCTAAGCCCGGTATATTGCATGCTCAAGCGCCTGCATACCTCGCATGCAACCTGTAGACGAAAAATAGACCCGAGTGTAACTCTCCCTTCCTCCAAGCTTGCTGTTTTTGCCGCGACATTCCTCGATAAGAGACTTCTCCAACTGGGCTCCATCTCATTGAATGCGGTTCTGGGACATATTATCTTCACAACAAGGAAACCGAAGCAAATAGGAATTTACTCTGGCCCTGTCATGGCGACCCGTAGGTATCCTTTAGTAGTTGTAGTATAATTAATAATCCGCCTCAAGACTCTATTCTTGCCATTGGGAATCCTTGTGAAAGTTGTAGTATAGTATAGCCCAAAAACCCTATTCTTGTTGTTAAGGCCCCTGCGCTACAGGTGGTGTCCATCCGGGCCGGTGGCCAGCGCAAGCAAGCCGCCGTCTCTTCGCTGGGCCAGGCCAATGCGCCGGGCAAGTACATACAGGGTCTGAGTCTGCCCAAGTGAGACATATGTGGCAACTCGACTACGCACTATAATATACATGGATGTGTGCATAAATACATTATATATATATATATAGAGAGAGAGAGAGAGAGAGAGAGAGTATACAGCATACAGTATACATGTATGCATACGTGCATCTCTGCCTGTATCAGGGCATACCATTTCGCCTTGCCTCGGGGCCCACTGGCGTGAACCCCTTCCGCATTGACATCCTCAAACAGGCAGGGCTGCACAGAGTTTCTCATGTTCTGAGATTCGGTGGGAGCAGAACGGAATTCAGAGCCCAAGCTCATGGGACTTGCTTCAGAGTCCATGCCAGTTCTTGCTAAGCCAATAAGGAACTGACAAAGGATCGCTTCAAGTCCGAGCCATCGCTGACACTCATTTTCTGAATCCGGCCTCCAGCGAAACTGATTTCATCTGCTCAGACTGCACTGACTTCGGTGTGCACGCCGATCTCTGTGATACCATTTTGAGGCTCAAAAGCTGAAGTCGAACAGGCTCCTGAAGGGAGGAATCGATGCTGCGAGCTACGGAACTCGACCCAGAAACTTTCCTCAAACGCTGGAAACTCACGTGACAGGTCGGCTCCGCACGCTTGGCGGTGCGTCCCGGTGAAGGCCTGGCTCCTGCGTTTCCGCAGGAGCTCACTTTTTCAAGGGAGCATTTGGCCCAGCAGGCAACTATTCCATCGAAGTGAAGGATGCTGGAGAGGGCGGCGAGCCCGTCCGAGTGGGCTTCGCCGTGCGCCACTGGGAAAGAAATTCGTTGGAACGAATGTTCTTTGCAGTTTGCAGCTTACTTGCGTATTTTTCCAAAGCTGAGACACTATATTCGCAGCTCTGAACTAAAACTCCCATCAAACACGTAGAGTGCCACTCAGGTCTTGTGCTAAATGTATTGGTTAATGTTGCCGCTCACGCACCATGCTTTCGCAACAGCTTGAAGCTGGGAAAATTGCAGACGGCCCTGCGACCTCCGTGGAATTCGAAGCCGTGCCGAGCTCATGTGAACCCGGCTTCACTCGAAAACCTCCGGAAAAGAACGCTGAAGAGACTGAATCCCATGCATGCCCACAGAGCCCAATACCCCTTGATTAAGGAATATAGCTTAAATCATAATATGAATCCCCTTACTATTTAAGCTATGTCCCTTAATGCAGGGGATTAAGGGCTCTCTGGGTGTGCTCTCAAGACGACTAAGCCCTAAACCCCCCCTCAGAAAAAGCCCTAAACCCCTAAACCCTTTCAACCCTAAACCCCGCAACCCCAAACCCCTACGCCCTAAACCCTTTCAACCCCTAAGCTCCAAAGCCAAGGTGCCCTGGGACCCAAGAAAGGCGAGCAAGTCGAAGCTCCGCCTTCGGAACGGCCGAAGGCGCCGAGTTCTGCGCTTTTTTGGGCTCTTCCCAGACCCCCGGGAGGATCCAAAAAGTAGATCCCTTAATGGGGGTTCCTTTGAAAGGGTGTCTTTCAGGATTACAAAAGGGGGTATTCGGGGGTTTTGTATAGGGGCCTTAACAACTAGAATAGGGGTTCCTTTAAGGGGTTCCTATAAAGTACCCTTAGTAGCATAGGGCCCCAAACTAGGGGATCGCCCAGAAAAGCATTGTCTATGGCTACAATAGGGTCTTATATGGGATCTTTGGGGATTTACCTAGGATCTAGAAGGAAATTTTCAAGGATCTCCCAGAAGAAAGAACACTCAGAAGGTGTAGCCAGGCAGAGTTTGGGATTCCTCGGTTGATGCAGAGTTTGCAGGTTTAGACCCACAGGCTGTTTATGTTTCTTGCTTCTCTGAGCTGGCTTTGCGATGCTCACCACCAAAAAGCACGGAATATGTGTGAGAGCTCTTCGTGGCCTTGTTGCGCATACCACTCCGGTTCCTCATTCAGTCTCACATGTCCTTTCACGATTAACCCTCCTATGATTGAATCGGATCTGCACAGGTCCGATCTCGGGGCGCTTCGAATGCCCTGCCCATGAAGGAGGCTTGGATTTCAGCTCGCTGTGCAGGAACCCAGGATTCTCATGTTGAGCCGTGGCAAAGAGCCAACGAATGTAAACATCTTGCACTTGGGGGGGGATCATGGGACTTAGTAATCAGTAACGAGGATGGTAAACAAGGTAACTATACTTATAACTCCGATTAGGGTACTTATAACCATGATTCACTCACTAGCTAGGGTTGCCAGTAATAAGATAACTATACTTATGACTCCTATTCGGGTACTTGTAACATTTACTGAGTCCCATGATCCTAGCAGGCCGGGAAAGTCCCATGCTCCTCCAAGTAAGCCCTAAACCCCAAATGGTATCTTTCCCCAAATGAGGGTTTAGGGTTTAGGGTCTATAAGGAACCCCCAAAATAGGTCCCTTATAGAACCCTTGTAAGGCCAAGAATGCAAACATTTTGTACTCCAGGAAGAGGAGAAGCGCTTCCTCTCTCAAACTGCCGTGGCCAAAGAGCCCAGGCCCCAGACTTCCACCGTCGTCACCTGGGCAATGAGGGTAATAGTGGGGCCTTAATAATTAGAATAGGGTTCCCTTTATATAAAGGTTACCTTCAAGGGGTCTATAAGGGATCTATAGTAGGGTTCTATCGTATAGGGGCCTCAAGAATCGGAATAGGGTTTGGAGGTATGTTCTTCTTTATAATCATAATACGGAACCTCCAAAACACTCGTAAAAGCTCAAAGGAAGAGGGACTACTCACCAGTAGCAGTATTATATAGTAGTATAAAGGGGTCTATAAGGGTTACTATAATTGATCTATTTTGGGGGTTTCTTACTATAATTATGGCAAATATACCACTACTCTTGTTCTTGCTGCTCTCCGCAGCATGCTCGAGTTTCAATCAAAAAGGCGCACAAACCGCACATTGGCTCAGGTATTTGGAAGCGCATGAGCTCTTGCCTTTCGTCCGTGCCCTCCTCCAGGCGCGCTTCAGACAGACGGCGCCATGATATTTAAAGACTTTCGCCGTGAGTTGCAGAGTGTGCTGCTCCCTGAGACTGTCATCCGCGACCGTCCGCTGGACCCGTACAGCTTCATTGCAGAACAGTCGGAGCGCCCGGATAGCTGCCACAGGTTTGAAACGTCATGCATTGTGATTCCTATCGGCGTGGGGAAGTACCCCCCCCCCCCCCCCCCACAAAGCCCCTGAACCCTAGGACGCTTCGGGCGGGTAAGTTCTATTGAAACGGACCTGTGCAAAGACCCGAGGTTTCGCCTAGCTGCAGCTGCGTTCAAGCCAACACAGCCCGCACCAGGCGCCGTCTTCCTGAGATGTCATAAACAAGCAGTTAAGAAAGAAAAGGTTACTGTAGGATAACTATAATACTATTTACTATAATAGTACTGGGATATTACTAAAGGATGACTATAATCGTGCTATAATATTACTTTGTGAAAGATTACTAGAGTAGTTGGAGCTTTATGGTCTGTATGGTCTTATGGCATGGTGTGCCCAGGCCGGCTGGAGGCCGCGACTTGCTGTCCTCCGGAGTAAGCTTGAACAATCCCTTTGGCTTTGCCTATGTTTGTACAGAGCTCTCTCAAGGCTCATCTAATATGGGAGTTTCCGAAAATTAGGGTCCCTTACTTTCGGAAACTCCCACATTAGGTCCGGAAAAAAGAAAGGGCATCGGTCCAGAAGGCTTCGCTACTGCTAATGCCCCGAACAGCCGCAGCCCTATCAGTGACAAGGTTCGGGGACTTGTACCCCAAAGGGGTCCAAGTATCACTATGGTATATACTTATGGGGTATTTTGGGATCTAAATATATACCATACTGATACTTGGACCTTTTGGGCAGTAAGTTCTCTGGACGACGCTGGTAGCTTTGTATGGATGCATATTCCGACTCAGAACCTCGAGCCAGGATTTGCGGCGGCTGCCGATGCGTACGTCGACCCGCAATTGGAAAAGGCCGCCGGCCCGGCAAAACGAGCAGCATGCCGAGTTCAACAGCAGAAGCAGAGCGTTCATGCACTCAAGATTCCCAACAGCAACGGCACCATCAGCGGCTGCATCATCGACACATATTGCCATTCAAAAATAGCAGCAACCCGCAAGACTGATACACCCACCCGACGAAACACCGAAATAAAACGCGATTGCAAGCCGATCAACGGATAGTATTGACATACACTTCAATTTTAACTCATTCTCCAAATCCAGTCCTTGCCCATCGTCAATAAAGGAAAACGTTTACCTCAAAATCTTCCGAAGTACTACCTCGACATGATCGTAACAGCGGTCATCGTTGCTGACGAAGAATCATACGAGTCAGATCCCAGAAAGCCTAAACAAAGGAACACCCTGCAACCCGGAAACCCCTGAACCCTAAACCTTAAACCGAAGAGTGACAGGAGACAGGACCCGATCCCCCGAAGCTGCCGAAGTCCGACGAGACCGCTGGGCCCTCGAAAGCTTACGCTTTCAGTTACGAGGGTCTTGCTGCAATTTGGGGCTGTAAGCGTCAATATGCGCTTCTTCTTCTTCTGGGTTGCCTCCTAGGGCTCCTTGTGGGGGAAGTCCCGCCTGGCTTTGGCTGCGTGGTTTCGGGTTGGGTTCACTGGCACCTAGCTCCCTGCGCAGCCTGCGCTCTGCCCAGTCAGTACCCTTGCAGTGCGAGTGTGCAGTGCTTTTGCCTGAACGCCCCCCGTGGTGTTCCCAGGTCGGCCCCCCCGAGATACCCAAGGCCGTGCTAGCGCCGTGCAGGCGCAGCAGGGGACGACAGGTTTCAGGCTTAGGGCGGGCAGGTCTGCAGAAAATTAGATGCTGGGGGCACGAGCTGCATGAATGGCTTCAGGCCCCAGAGCCTGAGAATTTGGAGGAATCTACAGTGTAAGTTTGGCACCGGCTCTCAGATCAGAGATTTCGGCTTGGCGGGACTTCGGGCTCATAGCGGCCCCTCTCTCTAGCAGAAACAATGAGCACTACTATTGCGGGGGTTCTTTCTTGTGATTCTAGTATAATATGCCCCATAATTATGCCACAAGGCGCCTGGGCTTCTCATGGTGTAATTGCTCTCTGGAGCCTCGCGAGATGCAGGCCGCAAGGAGACGGAGAGGAGCCAGCTGCAGCCTGCAGCCGAGAAGTTTTAGGGGCTTGGGTTTAGGGTTTCGGCCTTCGGGGCGTCTAAGAGATTGGAGCACTCCTGGCGGGTACTCGTACCGTCTCACAAGCCATCCAAGCCCTTTCCGTGAGGTTGCGGGGTGTCACTCGGAAGTCCATGTGTGGGAAAAGCTGCTCTTCATATAGAGGCCTTAATAACCTCTACTATTTTGGGGGGGTTCCTTATTGTGATTCTAGTATAATAACCCAATTCTAATAGTTAAGGCCCCTATAATTGAACTCCCGGACCCGCCCGAGCCTCCGACTCGCGCCTTTGCTTGGAGCCCAAGGATGGCGCTGACGTGGAAGGGCTTCGACTGAGGATTCGCGATGTCCTGGGCCAGGCAGGAGGGAGCCGCTTTGAATGAGAATAGGGCTCCCTTAAAGGGGGTCTATAAGGGTTACTATAAGGGAACTATAAGGGTACTATAATATAGGGGTTGTTCCTAGTAGTCGAGTAGGTCACCTTTAACCTTTTTGTGGTGTCTCATTGCCCAGGAAGTCATCACGCGTGCCCCAGGGTCTGTGAAAATATCCAACGTCAAGTCCCATCGTCACCCTACTGAGGCTGAAGATCAGTATGACCTTTGGACGATCCTAGGTAATAACGCGGCAGATGAAATAGCCAGAAGCACACTGTCCCGATCAAGCCACGTTTGGAATTTTGTAGCAGAGCGTACAGCAATTGAGACTGCTTATAAGTGTAGCTTGTTTTTGCATGAAGTTTCACGCCTAGTCATGTCCCATAGAAAGGCAAACCCGCGGCCTCAGCCTACTCCCACACCGACCCCGGAGAGTGTATTGGTACAGTACAGCCCTTGGCCAATCCATATCACCGGTCCTTTCCAAATTCAGACATGGGATGAAAAATGGCTACAGCTTTTCGCACGTTACTGGACGCTTTTGGAGCGGCCATCCCCTTTTGAGAGCCCGCCGCCCTCCCAAGGGGTTTCTTTCATTGAACTTATGCTAGATCTTTGCATTTCTTTTCAAGTCATGGTGCCGATTAACCTGAAAGTACTCAAGGGGTCTAGTTTTTGTGATGCGCCTAAGGTGAATCATAAATCCCCGGCAGTTTATTTTCTCCCAAACCGTTCCGAAGCCACCCGACTGCCCCCGCAGGTATTAACGCAAGCCGCAGGTACCTTTGTGAAATGTTTTGGTCTCCTTAATGCTTCTTTGAAGTTGACTCCTTATCCCCGCGAAAATCTGCGATCATTGTCATCTTACGGGTTCACCAATGTTGTTCCCTCTTTGAAATCCCGACCCAACCTCCTTTAAGGGTCCCACGTTCGACACCTTCTTGAATCCATCATAGTGCCGGAAGTCCGAGTCCTGAAATATTCGTATCGCATCCCGCATCCCCCAAATCACGCCTCGTCCGTTGCCGGCCTGCTTCCCACAACCCTTCTGAGCTTAATTCGCAAATTCGCGAAGCTCGTCTCACGCCTTTCGCTGGGGACGCAGCTTGTTCCACGTCGCGCTTTAACCTTTTTGGGTAGTATAGTCCCTGTATAATCCCTATATAACCAAAAAGGTTAATCTTTAGTTCCCCATGATACCCGACAAGTAGGAGCTTCTGCAGATCTAGTCAGGCTGGGGCGTAGTTTACGGGGATGGTTGCCAGTTGCTCCGTTCAGGAAGCAAGGCCGTTGGCACGTCGATCGTAGAGACACGTCTCTTGCAGAGCTAGAAGTCATGACCCCTCACCGGAAAGCCCCTGTCCACCCCACCCTTGAAAGTTTGTTTCTGAAAGTTCTGGAACATGGATCGGAATGTTCTCTTCAAGACGGTCAGACGCCCTTGCTTTGCGTGGCATTCCTCATGCTGAGGGGTCCAGGCACCATGTTATTCACCAAAGCCGCAGCAAGCCATAAGCCCTAAAGCCCTTACAGCCCTAAACCCTCTCCCAAACCCCCGCGCCCCCCAAAAAAGAAAGAGAGCCTCTTCTCATGTTATCTCCGAAGGCCGCCGAGGATGGGACGTTGGCAGCTTCCCTGAGCCAGGTCCAACCTGTTCTTCGCATTGGAGCTTCGTCTTACATGGGTCTTTGTAGAGTTATATAGGGCTTTCCAGTATGGCGCTGCATAGGGCTTCACAGGGTTGTATAGGGTTTTTTCAGGGTTCTATAGAAATCGCAAATGACTTTGCAGCCCATATGGTAGAACAACACGACTCGTGCGCACAACAATCATGAGACCCTGTCACTGGCAGCAACAAGAGCACCGCAACTGCGACGACTGCTGAGGCCAAAGGCAGGCTGCAACAGTTCAACACCCATGCGGGCCTGCTTCTTGAAAGGTGGAGCCCCCCGCGGCGCCGTTTGCGCCGAAGGTGGGGCAAAGCACGGGGCATCACCCTAGGGATCAACATAGCCCAAACAGCCTTACATAGTATAGTCTTTGGGCCCAAAAGCCTTAATATATGAGTCCTTAGATCCCTAGGGTCAGGTCAACGTCCAGGCGTTTCAGATCCTTGCACCTCCCTGCCCGTCGAGGGCGAGATCCTAAGCACTGTGCCAGGCCATGTCACAACCCAGAGAGCCCAATACCCCTGAACTGAGGAATTGAATATCGCATAAATCATAATATGAATCCCCTTATCATTCAAGCTTTATTCCTTAATGAAGGGGTATAATGAGGGTTCTTCTTTCTAGCGGCCCGGCTTATCTATCCATTGCCACTTAGCTCAGAGACAGAGACACCCAAGATGCTCACGCGATCAAACGAGCATGGGCCTGGCGCATATCACCCCATAATCTCGCATCCGGCCCCTGAACGTCTAAAGTTTCCAAAGCCCCAAACTATGTTCCCAAAACGCCCCTATCCTCCATTTCAAAAATATATGTAAATATATGTGTGTGTGTATATATATATATATATATGGTGTATATATATATGTATATATGTATATATGTATATATGTATATGAACAGACACCCCTGAGAGACCACCCTGAAAAGATTGGAGGCCGCGGAGCCGCTGGTCATCCGGCGCTTGAAAGCGGCCCCCGACTCTCCCGAGGCAGTTTCCGGTGGACCGGGGCTTTTCGAAGCGATCATATTGGGGCCTCAATAGATAGAATAGGGTTTTTGGGGGCCATTACACGATACTTGGGAACCCCCCAAAATAGTATAGGTAATTACTTAGGCCCTATAGTACTCGGAGGATCGGGGGGCTCAGTAAGCAAGGTTATAACTTATAAGTTAGCCGTTTCTGGGGTAATACTTATAGTTAGCTAGAAAATTACCCTATGATAATGAAGTCCCATGAACCGTTTAGTGCTCAAAAGAGGTTTAGGGTTTAAGGCCATGTGACAAGTACTTAAAAGGGTTGCGATTACCACAAGGAGTTCTAAATGTTTTTCGAACTTTCGGGTTCGTAGGGCTTACAAGGTTCACAGGGCTAGCAGGTTGCATTTTGGGAGGTAGTACATGACAACACTGTATCTGCGTTGGAGTGCTGATGGAGGTAAACAACACGCACGATTCCGGTGTTTTGAACCCCCCATTTCATGATTTGTCATCGGGTTTGTAGAGCTTCAGGGCTCGATAGGGGTTTTGTGTTTTGGGCTCTTTGTAATGCACCGCTCAGTTCGCAGAGCGGCATGTCATAGCCAAAGCTCAGCAGAGCGCAACAATGAGACGATGTTCGGAGTTGATCCGAATGTTTTGACGGCATTTTTCGAATTCTATGCTGCACCTCGACACCTGGGCGTTGTGTTTGGCTTTTGAGGTGTTGCCTTGGTTCACACGCGAGAGGTACGGCCGTTTGATTGAGTTCCTGAAGGTACTACTAAGATGTGCGCCATCCTGCCCCATTTCTGCAAGTTTGTAGGCGTCTTGATAGCAGAGCCAGATGGGCACCTCATAGTTTATTTAAGCTACTCTAAGCATGCAGCCGCGCAGGTTCAAGCTCCTGCAGCTCCGATCCCCAGCTTTCCCGGTGTTCACCGCACCAAGTATGAGACGATTGCTTGGGGGTTCAGGGTGCTTCTTGGACGAAAACACAGTAAAATCGCCTCTGTACGTAGAGGACTTCTGCAGCTACAGAAGCCTGAGTTTTTTTGCGAAGTACTTCCAAGACGCGGACATGGCCGCAGCTTGTCATCACATGTCATTGCAGCAGATGTCAAAGACCCCAAGAGTTTCGAGTTTTCGCTAGCACGAGAATTGCAAGGCTGCGACAGGACTCTCAATACAGCCCATCCCAACATGCAGAGCAAGAGCGCCCTTCCAGTCCTCAGAGTTGGACCACGATGATTTTTAGGACACAAGAGCGTGAGAATAGTTTGCAAAGAGTGGTCTCACTACCCCATGCCGCGGCGCAGAATCTTGACGACTGATTGCTCTCATGAGCTTCCCCCCTAAAACTCACAAATGTTGCCGTGGGTATGTTGCCCACAAAGGCCTCGCCGCTGCAGACGACCGTCTCTGCTCTCGATGCTGCTCAGCTCAGATTCGACGAGGTGTTAGAGGCCAAGTTTGCTTATTCTGTCCTGTTGGATTGGAAGGTATAGTTTACGGTTCGTAGCGAAACTGGCTCTAAGCTGATGGCACACCACAAGAATCAGGACATGCCGCCCGTTCTTTCTGAGGCAACTGCGAGCCCTCCGGCGGACGGAGAGGCTGCACTTGCCAAGGTGCATCGGAGCTAGCACGTTGGAGCGGTCAGGCCTAAAATTTGGTGTGGTGAATAGCACAGACTGTTCCTCCCTGCTCTCGGGCATCGTGCTGGCCAGATGAAAACGGAAGCTTCGGGCGACGTTGCAAAGGCCACGCCGACAGGATTTACTCGTGACAGAGCATACTACTAGGTGCCAGGTGTTAGACCCAGCTCTTTAGGCCGTCGTTGGGATTCCGGGTGGGTCTGGTGTTCGAGTTCCACCGCGGAAAAATGTGACCGTGACTGCTCTAAACATCAAAGAGGTGAAGACGTGACTGCCAACAAAAAGTCTTTGCAAAGGCCGAGGTCTTGGCGGGGAACCTGGATGTCCGGCACTCGAGCTTTGTAGCTGCATTCACAGCCAGCACAGTACGATACAGTAGACTGGACGCGTTCAAACCCAAACTGGTGCGAGAGTCGAAAGCTGCAGCTGCGGAACGTCGCAGAGAAATATCAAAGCTTGTCGTATAGAGTTTGGGGGTTTCTGATACATTAACTATATATTATCAGGAACCCCCCGCACCCTACTCTAACTATTGTGTATCTCTTCTGTTACGAACAGCTGTTGAACAGCTCCCAGAAGACCGAAACCTGCTACTAAGGCACTCAGCGTCGCTGAGAGCCACGAGGAGGACACGAAGCTGGCCAAGGCACCACAGCCCACTTTAGGCCACTTTCCGCAAGCACTTCCAGAAATTCATAGCTTCCTTCAGCTTATGATTACATGGTTTGCTGCACAGTGTGGGCTTTGTGCCTTGGCAAATGCAGCTTTAACAGCTTAGAAGGCCTCGCTGCAAATTTGGACAAGGTGCGAGTGCAAATCCCGAGCATGGAGTCAGGAGAAGCCGATCAGGAGGCTCATCCTGGATGCGGACAAAGGCCACAGCCCCTCAAGTGCAGAGATTAATTTATCGTTTGTAGTTCTTTGAGTGATAATATACTATACTACGCTATACTATAATGGTATAATACAGCACAGTATAGTCTGTATAGTATAGTCTTGTCTGCAGGTGCCACGACCAAACCACAAGACGAGCCCAAGCCGTCGCCTGCCGATGCCCCGGCCGCGGCCCCTCCTGACACTTGGCCGGTTCGAGCTTTTCACGCAACACGGGCGATGCAGCTAGCGTGCATCCTTCGTCTAGCCCTGTTTAAATGCAGCAGTTCCCGTCCCCAGGACACCACATTGGCTCCGATCCCAGCTGAAGCAACTGCGCAGGAAGAGGCCCCCACAGCTTCACGTCATAAAGAGCAGGATGATATAGTCCAAGTGAGCAAGTGACCTTCGCCCTGCAGCCCTGTTGCAGAGTTGCTTCCTATTCATTCGCTGTCAGGCCGTGGTACCTCGAGTGGTCCCCGAGCTCGAAAGCCTGCGGCAGAAAGCTCAAGAGGCCCTCCATGCTCTCTGCATGTAGCCTCAGAATCCCGGCTCCAGCTCCTCAACCGGCACCTTCACAGCCTTCACATGTCACCGGACTGATGATCTCACCTGGGATGATTGTGAAGGCGCTGCTGAACGGCGCGCAGACCGGAGAGCCCCTCGACTGCGTCCTCTGAGCCTCAGTGCCTTCCAATCTAGTTTAGCTCGCTGCGAAGCTGCAACGCCACCACATTGAGAAGCACCTCGGCACAGCCACTCCCAACTGGCATGCCTTCGCATCGCAGACGCGGCGAGTTCCGTTGAGTCTGAGAGTCTGAGTCAGCCTGAGGCTCTGGAACCTGCTCCAACGCTTTGCCGCGAAGGGCAGCGAGCAGAAAGCCTCGGCGTCGGCGGCGCTTTGCCAGGCTCGAGCTTTGAAAAGCCGCGCTTCCTCCGACTTATTTGAGAACTTCTGCTTGCAAGCCTAACCTGAAGCAATGAGGGGAAGGGTCGGCCGTGCTTGGCACATAACCTAGAAGTGGACTTCGAGACTTCGAGTGAAAGAGTAACTGAGCATCCTACTAATTCTCCTTGTTGCTCAACTCCTCCAAGCGACTCTCGATTCTCCCAAGGCGGCACAGTCGGGAGAACTCGTCGAAGCGCTGAGAAAATGTGGAACTGCGCAGGCCACCCGCTGCGACTTTACGGAGTACTCTAGGGGCCCGAATAATTAGAACAGGATTTGGGGGGTTATACTATATTACTTATCATCATAATTAGGAGTAAGGAGCCCCCACAACAGTATTGGTGATCATTCTGGCCCCCTACATTATATTGGAGCGTGCTCCTTTTCTTGTTGTCGATGTTCGCAGTGCTCGGACTTGGGGTTGGGCTTCAGCTTGAGAGCTTGAGCTCGCAAAGGATTCTGTCTAGATGCGCTCTTCAGGCATGCAGTGGAAAAACTTCCGCACTTCTCTGGAACCGGATGGCATTGCTGACTGCTCCACTCGGCATGTGCTCCCAAATCCCAATGCGGATTGAGGCGGCGGTGGCCTCCGCGGAGTTCGACCGCGTTCGCTGCTGGACTTGACTTTGGAGTATGTGCACGTGCATGGCACGCTCTGTGCGTGTAGTTGTGTGTTCGCAGGTAGGTATGTAATGTATGTATGTATGTATGTATGTATGCATGTACGCATGGATGTATGCCTTTATGTATGTATCTTGCATGTATGTATGTGCATGTATACATGTGGGCATAGGTGGGTGTGTGTGCGTCTGTCACCCCATCCCTGAAGGTACATCTTCAGACGTATTTACATGCATATATAATGATATATAATGTATACAGGTGCGCATACGAAGAGTATGCCAAGCATACATGTCACGTGTGTAGGTGTGTGTGCTTGTCTACACGCATGCATGCATGTAGGGGACAGGTAAGTACGGTATGGTATGGTATAAATAGTATGCATTCCAATGAATGCACGGATGCATCAATATGTGGATGAATGCATGCATGCATTCATACATGCAGGCATATGGTTGTGTTCATTGTATGTGTGGTATGAGTACGGTTGTATGCATGCATGCATGAGCCTTTATGCATGGGCATATCGACTCTGTTGTTTCTCTGGTCTTGCATACTTGTTTGGGTGGTCCAGCTTTTTCTTTCGTATTTATGCTGTCTGTCTCTCTCGTTCTCGTTTGCTCTCACTCGTTTGCATGGTTCTGTCTATGTTGCTTACATGTTATCTGGCATGAGCTTGCACCGACCGTACCTTGCCGAGGGCAGCATGCGGTCGAGTCCCTGGTGGTCGCCGCCGAGTCGGGAAGGCTCCAACTTCTTCACGAGACTCAGTGGGATGAACAGGTCCTCCTAGGTTGGAAGGAAGTAAGACATGGAGGAGGCATCAACTTACATGGGCAATCAATATCCCAAATCAGCTTTAAACACAGTCACCAAGACCATCACAGAGAAAACAGCTGTCATGTTTGTTGGAAGAAAGCGAAACGCCTCACAGTATCAACAAGAAGAGCAGGAGGAAAGGTCATGGATGTAGTATTAGCGGGCTCGGTGCTTGACAAGACGTTGGCATGGCGTTCACTTCTACATTTCTACATGTAAATACTTATGGCCTCTGCTGTAGGTTCTGGTTCTCGTTGCATTACCACTGTCTACTTTCGCTTTTGAAATGCCCACGAGTCTTCGCACGTAGGCCTCAGAATCAATGAGCCGACCTGTTCCCGACGCGTCGCTTGATCCGTTACAAGCCTCAGGCCCAGGCGTCAGGCGAAGTTAAGCCACCCTAAACCCTAAGCCCAAAACCCTTAAATCCCAGAGTGTCGGCCAGCTTGACCACTCAGCACAAACAAGCAACCAAAAGATTGCAACAACTACCGGTGGAGCTCGCATGTTGAAGGGTTGCGAAATTGCTGTCAGC